TGGTCCTTCAACTATTTACTTTACAGCTAATTCGACCTATTGTATATTAATTAATAATTGTTTGAAAATTGATTTGTCAATTAAATTGGTAAAATTAGTTGCAACTTATTTTCAAACCAATCTTCCCTTTAAATTGATCGCATCAAACTTGAAAAAGACTTCTAATTTCAGTATTTCAATGGTTGCCATATTACTCAGTAAATTTTATTTTAATTATAAATACTACTCAGTAAATTAATTTTTTGTATGCGGTCGAGCAAGAAGTAAGACAATGGCGTTTCATGGATTATAAATTCTTATTTAACTAATAGGCCGATGGATTCTGCATATATTTCTGATTGATTATTTACTTTATTTAAAATAACCTGATTATTTTTCAGAACTCACATATTTAAGCTCAAGCAAGCCAAACAAACAGATTAATTTTGGTTTGATTTGAATTAATTGATCGAAATAATTGATTAAAGTTTAATCTATCAATCAATAATGTGGTCGAATGTATTAAATATATACATAAAATATGAAAACCATTAAAAATAATTAACTATACTAATAAATATATATCATTATTTTAAAATATTTATAAAATTATATAAAAAAAAACATTTTCTTAATATCAGATGGTAAAAAATGGACTATATCTGGTTTAATAGGTTTTATGCAATCTGTGTTTTCTCGTTATTAAACAATTAACAGGAAAATAAATAACGTCCAATTCTTGGTTGGATGAAAGTGACTATAGCAAGGGTGTGACATGTCAATCTCATAGTGATAATTAGTAACCCTACATTTTCAATAGCTTTGATATTAAGTAGTCACTCATCTCATCATCAATAATGATGCTATTAATTAATTGAATCTTAATTTGGAGTTATTTTTACCTCTTTGTTTGTATATTTATTATTGATTGAACTCTAAGTTCTTGATCTACAAGTTAGCAACTACGTACCAACAACGGCCAAATTTGTGTTGAAAAGGTTTGTAATGTATCCGAATACTATAATTAATTGCATCAAACTTGAAAAAGACTTCTAATAATGATGAATTGTTGATGCAATGTCGGTGTAATTTTGGGTGCATTTCTTTTNTCTTTTTTTGTGTGCGTGTTTTAATATCATTCTATTTAAACTAATTCATGTGTAATCAATACGAGCTTTTGGAGAAGTATTCATTGAAAGTCTCAATTTGGTGAAGTTACATTTTCATTAGGTATCCAATACCTGCACAACATATTAAAAAAATTGTGAAAGCTATAAATATTATTCCTTAAAATGATCGATCGACATGTCATACATTTTTAATAAAAATACATTTATGTCATGAAATCACTACAAAATAAAATTATTATATTCTAACAAAACAATTTAGTGATAAAATATTTCAATGAAAATTATTATGAATATCAACACTAAAATATTTCTTGGATGTTTAGTTGGAACTTCTAACAATAATTTTTCCAACATTTTATTGTTGTAGGAATTTTTATACATTAGTTACAACCGGAATTATATGATGAAACTTCCATCAATTATTCGAAAAATTGTTGTTTGAACCATCAAAATCTAATGAAAATTATATATATATATATATTAAAATCGCTGTTGAAATTATATTAGAATACATTGCGGTCTAAATTTCACAAATTTTTTAGTGCATGATATATTATTATTTAAGTTTTATATATTATGATCTAAGTATTATATATGGTGCAGTAGCATTTTCCATATCAATTATATGTGATCAAATAGATCTTCACAAATCTCGAAACAAAACAAAAGTAGGAGTCCCCTTAAACTTATAATTAATCAAAATATATAAATTCTTAATTAGTAGGCTAGGCCATCCCAAGTAATTTCTAAGTTCATATTCATTATTTAAAAACAACTAAACAATATTATTGAGGACATGCATAACAAATTTGGCTGTCAGATAAAGTTCCTAATTCGTCTCTTACTTTTTGACTTTTGTGCTTATCAAACTTTTGTTGATATTATTGGCTCAACTCACGTCAACAGCCAGGGAGCCCAACCACGCAGCTCCCAAATTTAAATTATTTTTCAAATTAAGTTATAACTAATTGCTAGGATGGCAAAACGACTTGGACCCGTCCTGACCTGGAGCGTTTGGGACGAACCCGACCTGCCCCGTTTATAAAACGGGCAAAGACGGGTCCGGCCCATTATAAAAACGGGCCAGGTCCGGGTCCAATGTATTACCCCGCCCCGCTCCAGCTATATATATAGATATTATATATATTATAATATATGAAGTAATTTTAGGGTTTTTAGTTCATTTTTCACTCCCCATTCCCGTTCCCCGCCTCTCATCTGTCTCTGTACTGTGAAATTCGACCTNTTCGTCAGTTGCCTCTCCGTCTCCCTCTTCTCAAATTCACTCCACTGGCCAAGCCCACACCACCCACCGTTCGCCTCTGCTCTCACACCGTCTCGCCTCTCCTCGCCCTCAGCTCGACACCTCGGCTCAAAGGCTTCTCGCCGGCGCCTCTCCTCGACGCCTCGCCACCTCTCCTCGACGCCTCGCCGCCTTGTCGGATCAAAGATATATTTTCGCTGAAATTATTGGTAGAACATTAGACGGGGCAAGTCTGTTGGAGTTTAATGTTGGATTTAATGTTGGATTTGTTTAATTTATTATTTTTATTGGGATTTAATGATATTTGAATCTTATGAGAAATGGTGAATTGTTGATGAATTCATTGTTAAAATCATGCTTCTGTTGTTTTTTTGTTGAATTCATTGTGAAATTAGAATCAGGCAACCAAGTCCATCATGTACAACCCATTGTAGGCAATTTGTAGGAAAAAATAAATAAAAAGGGCGGGCCAAGTCGCGGGGCGGCATTATTGGACCCGTGGCGGGTCACGGGCCAAGTCGGGGGGCGGGGGCTATGGTCGCGGGGCAGGTTCGGGTACTGAACTACCCGGCTCGACCTGCCCCATTGCCATCCCTACTAATTGCCCAATACAATACATAACCACGCATGAAGGATTGATAATATTTTAATACTATATAATACAGTATATAGTATTCGAACTTATTTGAAACTCGTACCTAATAATACTAGTATAAATACCATAAAATCATAATTAATTCATGATAATGCATTATGTCCCTAATAACTTTTGCTCTATGGCTCAAATATCTAAATTGCACGCATCAATGAGAACAAAGTTGAATATCCAATACCATGTGTCCACGAATGTTAATTTGCTTTCTGGCTAATTTAATCATAAGGCAGTTAGATGTGTTGTAATAGGACATATCCATAATCACACACAACAATAGCTAGTTATTTTTCTTTTAATGAATAACAGATATACTAATTACTAATAAATATCATTTCTTTATTATAGATTAAGTGGTTTATTTTTATGGTATACCTAATAAATGATTATATTAGACGCATAGGCACCTAATTATGTTGGATAAATATGATAATTAGCAGAATAAGTTGTTTCGACCCACTCGACTCGATTAAGCTCACGAAAACTCAACTCATTTAAAATGTTGATACCTCAGTTCGATTCATTTAATAAACTTAAAACCTTAAGCAAACTATTCGTTAATAAGCTTGCTCGACTGTTTAATAAACAAGCTTGATTATTTGTTTAATCATTAAATAAACGATAGAGTAGAGTTCGCATTTTTACAAAACTAACTAATTTGTGTTGGCAAGCGACTTCATTCAATCTGCATGTCTAAGAAAAAATCAAAAGATCTATGAAGAAATGTGATAGAAAACTATCAATTAATCGTTTTGAGTCACCGATTTATTTGTTCATATATAATTATTTATTCAACCCGAATCACACAATTATATAGCCCCATAATCGATTTGTCCCGGATAGATCTTCATGATGTCATGTCAAAATCAAAAGGTTTTATAATCTTATTGCGCGTTCTTAATCTTTTTTTTTTTTTTTTTNTTCTATCAATAATATGAGTAAATCAGGCCATGATGTGTTGATAACGTCATTTTTTAGTATGGTGGAAAACGATCAGATAACGTGATGAAGTTCAATTTGAATCAAAAGATACGGCAAATTCGATCCTGGCGGTGGATAATGTGGGCAATGGTGGCAGCTTGGTCAGCCACCTTTTTCCTTTAAAATATATATAAAAGAAAATATATTAATCAGTTAATCAATGTAAATATTTATTATGGATAGAGATCCTTTTTCTTGTTCCTTCTTCGAAATTTCCAGTACACCACGAATCAGTTATTGTTAGGTGAATTTTGGACTTTCTAGAAGTCAATAACGTTTTTACTTGAATAATTGTGAAACACGTGGACAATTGTGGTCAAAATGTTTATATGTTAGGTAACTACAAGAGTAATTCTCACATTCTAAATTTATGTATCTGTACATGATTCTTCTTAACTTAATGCTTACGTGGTAGATATGAATAATCCCGTTCAAGTTTGGAGTGTCAAGTTCATAAACAGCTCAATTCGTTTAATACCTGTATCACATACGATTTATTTCGTTGTATATTTAAATATAAATATATATACTTATATTAGATTATGATATTTTTATTATTTTTTAAATACAATATTTGAGTACAGTATACATAATCCTTTCGATATCCTTTTTACCAAAGTCGCCACGTGGAGGATTCCTATTCGACCAGGTAATGATCACCTTCGCCTACTTTCATTGGTGCCAATTAGCTGAGTGGCCATACCCATAAATATGTCGCCACGTTTCTACGTTCGTAACGTTCCCGTTAAAGCAACCTTCACTTCACCTCACCCGTTCCCCAACTAATTTGGACAGCACCCAAAATTAAATATATACAAAACAAAAATAAAATAACAATTCCAAAATGCCACCTCATCCTCATAATTAGTCACGCCACGCGCATATATAAATATCAGTTAGTACAGCAAGGCCTTAAACCAAAGTTCCACAAAAACAAAAAAGTCACATTCTTGAAATCATTAAATTAAACAAATAAAATGGATTGGATCAGAGGTCACATCATAGGCCACGGGTCCTCGGCCACCGTGTCCACCGCCACCGCCCGATTCTCCGGCGAGATCCTCGCCGTTAAATCCGCCGACCTCTCGCGGGCCGGGCCCTTACAGAGGGAGCACAAAATCCTCTCCACTCTAAACCACCCCAACATAATAGGCTACGTCGGATGCCACGTCAGCATCGAGAATCGCAGGCCCCTTTTCAACCTCGTCATGGAGTACGCGCCAGGTGGCACGCTGGCCGATGCCGTTCGCCGGGGCCCACTCGACGAGCCCACAATCGGCCGATACACGCGTGGCATCGTAAACGGGCTCGAGTACCTGCACTCGAGAGGCATAGTTCATTGTGATATTAAAGGAAGCAACGTATTATTGAGCCGAGACGAGGCTAAGATCGCCGATTTTGGCTGCGCCAAGTTGGCGGGTGATGACGTGGCGGCAATTGGCGGCACGCCGCTGTACATGTCGCCGGAAGCCGCCAGGGGGGAGCGGCAGAGTTTTCCGGCCGATATATGGGCGCTCGGGTGCACGATTGTCGAGATGGCCACCGGAAGGCCGCCGTGGCCCAATAATGCGTCGACACTTGGCAGGATTGCGTTTTCCGGCGAGACGCCTGAGGTGCCGGAGTTCTTGTCCGAGTCGGCTAGGGATTTTTTGGGCAGGTGCTTGAGGGTCGACCCCGACGAGAGGTGGACGGCTCGACAGCTGGCGGAACATCCTTTCGTGAGCGGGTTTGGGTTTGGGTTTGGGCAGGAGAAGGAGGTTACGGGCAAGATGTGTTCGCCGACTAGTGTTCTCGATAGGGGGATTTGGGGTTCGGTTGAGGAAGGACTTTCGGATTTTGGGGATTTTTCAAATGGGGCTGTTCAGAGAATTAGGGAGCTGTGTGTGAGTTCTGGGCGGGAGGATTGGGAGGGGGAGGAGGGATGGATAACAGTTAGAGACAGTAAAAATGTGAATATTAATAATATTAACAGTGGAGGTGAATTTAGAGAAGAGAGTTTTGGATTATGTGGGTGTCCCAGTTTTCAGAGGGATACAGGGGATGTACAGAGGGGTTAGATGAATTCAATTTTTTTGTAAAGTTGTAAACTGATTTTTACTTTAAAGTTCAATTTTCTGGGTTTTTCTTTAAAGTTAAATCCAACTGTCATACAAGCAATTTTATACCGTGCTTGAAGCAGTAGGTAAATTAGGTGATTATAAAATACCTATAGGGATAAAATGAGAGAATGGAAAGCCAAGCTTTGCAGTCCCTACGCGGATTTGTTATCATGATTTATTCGTGTTAAGGCCCTCTCCAACCGAAAACCCTATACTTAAACCCATTTTGCAGTAACTGTCACATTTTGCAGTAATTCATCTCCAACCGAAAAACTCTTTTTCAAACTCAAAAGAATATTCTTGACATCAACTTCTACAACTTTTTAATATTACCCACATATTTTACAACTTTACAAATTAAACCACACTATTAATATCTATATATATATAATTACTGGCTAATAGCATTCAATAAAACCTCATTTCGATTTCCCTCCAAAAACCGTTACAAACTTTATCATTTATATCTCTCTCTCTATATTTAATTACTAACAATAAATTTAATAATATTAATTATTGTTTACCATCTTTTTATGTTACAATCTTCTATTATTATTATTATTATTATTATTATTATTATTATTATTATTATTATTATTATTATCATTATTATTATCTATATATATAATTACTACCTAATAGCATTTAAAAAAACCTAATTAATAAAACATCTAAAATTTTTCCTCCATTTTCGGTTACAAAATTTATCATTAATGTTTTTTACTTCTCACATTAATACATCCTATTGAGTGTAATCATGTATTTTTCTATTATATTATATAATAATTAAGGCAATACCAACTAATAATAATTCACAATAAATATAAATTGCATAATTATAAACAATTGCTTCAAGTTATTTATTTTAACATCAATATTATCTTTTTCTTTTGTATCTCGTGAAAAAATTTCTTTAAAAACAATTAGTAAATTGTTTTAATAGCATAGTCAAACAACTTTAGAATCTTATAAACAATTGTTTTTGTAATAATAATAATAATAATAATAATAATAATAATAATAATAATAATAATAATAATAATAATCAAACTGCTATTATCTAATGATAATAAACAATTGTTCATAATAATAAACAATCATTAATTTATTTGTTCTAATGATTAAATTTTAAAAATGTAATATGTTCATTATCTAAAATTTTAATATTATATTCCTACTTATAATATTTTATGTACATCTGTGCATGTGCACAGGATATTTACTAGTTGTTTGTAAATTTTTTTCTTTTAGAAATATACTAATATATAATAATGAAAAATAAATAAAACAATATTTAACTTGACAATAATTACTAATACTGAATATAATATATATACATACATAAAATGTTTATAAATATTATATTATACAAAAATTATATTATTTCAATTTATTATATATTTTTTTATTAAAATATTGATACTTGATACAAATAAAACTTTAATGCCATAACATTATTTTAACATCACCCATCTGTCCCTTCCAGTTTCCGCATTCCCACATACAAATTTTATTTTTATTTTTACTTTTTAAACCCTTTGTGTAATTAAAATTAAAAAGAAGGACTGAATTGGAATAATAGAAGTACAAACGCATTTCTTTTGCAGGAACGCAAATTTGCGTCAAAATCAGGAGAGAGAAATTCAAAAACTCATTTTGAGTTTGAGTTTGCAGTACCATTGGAGAGATTTTGCCCCATTTTTTGGGTTTTACCGCTCGGTTGGAGACGGTCTAAGTTGGATTACTTGTGCCTCCACGAAATTGTGGAGCCGATACCTGATTAACTTTCTGGGATAGCAAACCAACATACCAAGATAGGCCGGGCCGGGAATATGTAGACAATTGCATCATATTCTGGTTTATGGAGATCGTGATTGATCCAGAGAGGGCACTTAATACAAAAGACAGCATTCAAATCAAGATTTGCACAAAAAGATAACTAAGCATCCTTACAAAAGCTGAATCCTTTACCCGAACCATGTCAAAGATTCTTATCCTCAACATTAAGCATTAACATCCTGCTTACAAACTACAAATAACACAGCAGTCAAAACATTACATGTTACACTTGCAAACCGAGTGAACCTACTCAAATCAACAATTGCACGAGCACACAATGGCCAGTCTTGATGTTCTTGGTTTTCTCTTTCAGATGGACATCATTATGCCATCTGTTAGAGCACTAGTTGACGTAAGAGATGCCTTCAAGATTCTTAAAGCCTGCACGAAAAAACAAAGTAACTACTTAACTAAGATTATTAAATAAACACTCAACATAACAAAAAATAAAATAAATGTATTTATATACATTACCTCATCCAGACCCACCACAAGCTCTACCTCATCCAAATCAGATAAAGGTATTTTAAGCCGGCTTAGTACAGAGAAGCTGGAGGCCATGTTGAAAGGTGTGACTGTTAGATCATCAGTTACATTGTACATTGTGTTCTCCTTAACAAATTTTTCTTGGCCAAAGCTTCTAAATGAAGATGAACCTTTCTCAACAAAGTGAAGGAAATTATTTTGGAAGGCATAACCTGAGAACATCTGAGGTTTCAGCAACATGGATTTAATATCTTTTTTCCTGAAATATTTATCACCATCGATATTTGATATGCTTCCATACAAACTGTCTATACTGTGGAGACCTGTATTACCACCAAAAAGGCACTCAAGTGCCCCCAATGGGGTTATGAGGAAACTACAGAGAAAATCTAGGAAATCATCCCCAGCCTCAACAAACAATATCTTGTTAGTTGATATCTGTATCACAGCTTTCACGGTCATTTTCTTAGAGCTGGCTTCTGGTGATTTTTCTATCATTACCTGCTGCAGTAATTGCTGTGATATTTTTTCTAGACACGCTGAGCAATCCCTTACGCATCGTTCTTCATGGAAAATCAGGTCTGTCAGAGGAGTTTTGGAGAGTAAAGACAGCTCGAGTAAATCTATAATCTGATCCACGGACATAGTAAACAGAGAAAAGAAATTAGAAAACCCAAAGTTGATGAAACTTCAAGACAGCGTTTTGTGGTAAGCATGGCTAAGAAACAGCAGATTAACAGAAATAGCATTATCTTACCCAAGAGCCAAAACAAGGACTAACAAAGAGAGCTGTCTGAGATAATAATTAAACAAATTTGGTGTAAAAAGAAACAGGATCACGACCCCTTATGGTTGATGGGCTAAATAAAATCAACTACCATACATACATTAATAAAATCTTTTTGAAAGAAAAAGAAAGGAAAGAAAATCAACTAAACATTCGGTTGGGGTGCATAACAACTATGGGTGCAAGCTTCTAAAGGGCATTTCAAGTAGTTATAGTAATCATTCCAAACAACAAAATCAAACCTCATAGTATCCGAGAGTCAAGGTTCTTATCTCGGCCTTGTCCATATCTGTAACGCCAACATTTGTTAGGGTTTGTCGAACATATCCTGGCTCAACAGGCACAATCTTCAGATCATCCGAAATCATGAAAGACAGATTTTACTGTAAAACCTTCATCATCTCCATCACTTCCAAAAGGCGCAGTTCGAGGTCTCTTACTCTTGTTTCTAGAATTCACATCCTCTGGAATCACGTCTGTCATTGGCATGCTGAGCTTCAACTTAACTCCACGAATTTGGGATCTTTGTGGATTAATCACTTGAGGCTTAAAATTCCCTTTCCAAAAATGGTAATCGTTCAAATCAGATAGCCCCTTGTACAAGGTAGTTAAGCTCCCAATTACAGTTGTGGCCATTTCCCCATTTTCCGGACTAAGAACCTTCATAATCGTTCCCAACGGCAAGGTCAGGAAGCTTAACAGAATATCTATGAAATCATTGTCTGCTTCGGCTAATATTACTTTTTTGCTCTTTTTATCTATCAGAGCTGTCAAAGAGAACGTGATTTCGCTAGCGTCGGACATCTTTCAGTCCCTGGAATGAAACTTTAATCCGACGGATGCAAGAGGACACGATTTAGAGGCCTACCTACATGCATTTACAGAAAAGTGAGAATTGATTTGTTTGAAAAAGAAAGATCGGCTAAAGTATGGTGCAAACCCACTGTCAGCTACTAGCTTTACGGCATTGCAGAAACAGTGAAAGATATTAAACCCAACTCCAATCAAAAAGCCGTAATTTCACTTCGAATGCAACATGATTTCAAATGTTTGTAACACGATACAGTAAAAGATGATAGCAAATGCAAGATTCTCGAGCCACTTCACAGAGGAGCCTTTATCGTAAAAATAGATTTGGGGAAGTTAGGGTTTTCGAGTTTCAGAGGTTTTGGAAGTACCTTATGCATAAACAAAGATGGTGTGCCCGAAACGCGGCGGAGTCGGCGGCGGACTGCTGAGGTGTTAACGGCGGAGGGGCATTCCACTGAGAGAGTGTTGGGTGTGGACAGGATTGCATAGCTTTTTACTTCTACGACTTGAGACTTGAGACTTGAGAGCATGGCCGACTGGCCCGACCCGCCGGTCTCGTGTCCGACGCACCGATTCCTGGCCCGGCCCGGCTAGCAACCGATTGTTGATAATATTAACTTTCTTTGGCTGGCTATCGAAATTGACAAGTCAAACATGTAAATTATATTCACTTCTTAATTTTATATTAACCACCTAACAAAAGTTGAGCTAATTTTATTGAACAAACAAAATAATATTTAAAATATAATTATAATATATTAAAATAATATTAAAATTATGAAAGTAAATTATATTCACTTAATTTTATATCAAACAAGTGACCATTCCTTAATAGTAGTCTTCTATTTTATTGAACAAAAGTTGAGAGTTAAGTGATGATTAAAAATAAATAAAAATAATTTTATTGAATTTACCGGTTAAAGTGAACTAATTTCAAATCAAATTGATTGAGAGAACTATTGAGTGAAATATATTTTCATATATTTTCTTTTATTCTTTTCATTCTCTTTGAATGAGCAATATCTTTGATTTCACAATTCATAAAGTTAATAACAAATGAGTCAAGTGAAATCAACTAATTTTTCAGTCGTTGTTACTAAGTTCTCTTAAATGTCAAAACTAGTAGTTTAATACTTTTCTAATGAAATTTATTAAATTGTTATTGAGTGTTATATACCCCAATGAATTTAAGATACATATTTTTATTTTTATTTTTATTTTTATTATTTGCAAATAAAAGATACATATTTTTAAGTGAAGTAAAAGTTCTGTGTTTGATTTATTTCGTGTCTCTTTTAAGGGTTTAAAAAAGAAAAGGATTTCTTCCCTTCTTTTCCATTTTCATCTGTGATTCTTAAAATATCTCAGATTTTATTATTGATTTTATTGTGGCTAGTAACATTGTAAACTCAACTTAAAAAAAAAATTAAAAAAAATAAAAAATAAAAAAAAACGAAAGCAACCAAAGAGAACATCTAACATATTTCGCACAGAACCTTATAAAGTTCACGACTTGCCCTGCTCATACTGGATATATCGTGATAGAGCTCGAGAGAATCAAGATTAGCACAAAAGATAATTAACATCCATACAAAAGCTCAATCCTTGGGCAGGACCATGTCAAAGATAAGCTGTTAGGAGTAATAAATTCTTAATCTCGAATATTAAGCATTAACATCCTGCTTATAAACTACAAATAACACAGCAGCAAAAACATTGCCCGTACACTCGGAAGTCGAATGAAACTACTTAAATCGACAATTGCATGATAACTCAATGGCCAGCCTTAAAGTTCTTGGCTTACCCTTTCAGTGGAATTCATTAGGGCATCCGTAAGAGCACTGGTTGATGTAAGAGATGCCTTCAAGATTCTTAAACCCTGCATGAAAAAACAAAATAATCCACCACAGAGCTAAGATTATTAAATAGAAACTTAACATAACAAAAGAAAAAATGTATTTTAACTATATTACCTCATCCGGGCCCACCACAAGGTCCACCTCATCTACATCGGATAAAGGGATTTTAAGCCGGCTTAGAATAGAGAAGCTGGAGGTAATGCTGAAAGGCGTGACTGTTAGATCATCAGTTACATTGTACATTGTATTTTGCTTTACAACTCTAACTCCGTTGGGGAATCTAAATGAAGACCAATCTTTCAGCAACATGGGTTTTATTTCTGTATAATCGTTATTGAAATATTTATCACCATCGATATTTGATATGCTTCTGTACAAACTGTCTATACTGTGGAGACCAGTATTATTGCCCAAGTAGCGCACAATGCATCCTAATGGGATGAAGAGGAAATCAGAGATAAAATTTACGAAATCACAACCAGCCTCAACAAACAATATCTTGTTAGTTGATTTCTGTATCATGGCTTTCACGGTCATGCTGGATTTTGATGGGTTTTTTTCCTTTACCTCCTGATGTACTTGCTGTGATATTTTCTCTAGACACATAAAACAATCCCTTTTGCATCGTTCATCACGGAAAATCAGGTCTGTTAGAGGAGTTTTGGAGAGTAAAGACCCCTCAAGTAAATCTATAACCTGATCCAAGAACATAGTAAACAGAGAAAAAAGGAAATCAGATAATCCAAGTTGGTGAAAATTCGAGTACTGAGCTTGAGGTACTTATTAGCTTAAAAACAACAAAACTAACATTAGATATTCGAGAGCCAAAACAGTGGCTAACAATGCAAGCTATTTGAGATAAATAAACCAAATTAGAAAAGAAAAAAGAAAATACGTTTAAAACAAGAGCTAATAGAAAACAACTACCATACGTGCATTAGTAAAATCATTTTAAAGAAAAAGAAAAATAAAGAAAATCAACTCAAAATTGGTTCGGTTGAAACCTCATAGTATCCGAGAGTCAAGGTCCTTAGCTCGGCCTTGTCTGTCTCTGTAATGCCAACATCTGTTAAGCTTTGTAGAATGGATCCTGGCACAAAAGGCGCAATCTTCAGATCATCCGTAATTCTGAAACGGGTTGATTTTACCGTAAAACCTCTATCATCTGCAAAAGGATCGTCCATTGACAGATCTGCAGTTCGAGGTCTCTTATTAACATCCTTTGGAATCTTGTTCATCCCTGGTGGCGTGGTGTAACCAACTCGGAGCTTCAACTTATATTCTGCTGCTAGACTGTTGTCACCCTTAGAATCCCACTTGAGATGGCGATGTACAGAATCGAGTAACCCATTGTACAATGTAGTTAAGCTCCCGATTACAGGTGCTTTTTTCTCGTTTTGCCGATTATTGAGAACCATCAAAATCCTTCCCAGTGGCAGGGTCAAGAAGCTTAACAGAATGTCTATGAGATCGTTGTCTGCTTCGGCAAATATTACTTTCTTGCTCTCTTTATCTATCAGAGCTGACAAAGAGAATGTGATTTTGTCGGACATCTTTCAATCCCAAGAAAGAAACTTTAAGACTGAGGAATGCAAGGGAGTCTGCACGTAAGAGGACACGATTTAGAGGCCTACAGTAAGATCGGCTAAGTATGGTGGAAACTGGAAACCACTATCAACAACTAGCTCTAAGGAATTACAGAACAGTAAAGAATGTTAAAATTTAGGTTCATATAAAAAAGCTGTAATTTCACTTCAAATGCAACAAGATTTCATATAATTGTAACACGATACAGTAACACAAGCAAAATTCGCGAGCCATTAATGCACAACGAAGCAATTATCGCATGCTAAGATTTGGGGGTTTTCTAGTTTCAGGGTTTTTGGAAGTACCTTGTTTATGTGTAAATAAGACGGTGTGCCGAAATTCGGAAACGCGGCGGCGGTGGACCGCGGACGTGTTAGCGGCGGCGGGGCGAGAGAGTGTGTGTGTGTTGAGTGTGGAGTGGAGTAGTGGACCAGAGCGCATCGCTTTTACTTCTGCGATACGGCCAACGGGCCGGTACGGCGGTTCCAGCCCGACCCGGCAGGTCAAGGATTACAAACTAGAGCAAATAATCATATTGCTTAAATAATCATATTGCTAAAGGGAGGATATTCCTTATTTCCAAATATCCAATGGTTTTTAAAAGTAAAGATATTACTTTCTTTCAATGGTTTTTATAAATCAATAACAATAACAAAAAAAATATTTTCAAGGTGATAATTTATCCAATTTAAAAATAGAAAAATAAAGTAATTACATTAAATAAAATTAATTAATTTCTAATTGACATTAAAATTGGTCATCGCAAATGGTACAATAAACTATAATATATCATTATTCAAAGAGAATGTTAAGAAATAAGAATGAGAAAACTATCATAAAATTATAACACCGCTAATAACAATTTATGAGTATAGTAAGAACGCTATTGAGACTCCAAAACAAAATATATGATACACAATCTCATAACACAATATTTCATTGATTTTGCTAAATAATCTAAAAAAAAAAGTTAAAAAATATTTTCGTTAGTATATTATATTTGAGTTATACATAAGGTGTTAGAGTAGGGTACCCGGCGTTCCAATCTAATTGGACGTATTCTACTTGTAAATACAGTCTATTGGAATTATATTATGAATAAGGCATTTCTTTATCTTAAGAGAAAGCATTTATCTTATAATTGCACTTAAGATAAAATCCCTAGATCACTTATGGTTATAAGGTATGGTTGCGCATAGAGATGGTGATCATGGAACATACCTTGAAAG